TGCCAATACATAACACCTGAGCATTAACTTATCCTACTGTTGAAGGAAAGGCTTCTTATCTTTCCCAGATAATTATTCAGATGAAATCTGTGTTCAGTTACCTCTACCTTTCCTTCAAATTAGATGGAGGGCAGTATCACAAACTATTTCCTTAGGAACACAAAAATAAAAAGATGTCACAAAAGCTATCAAAAAGGCTAAGATTAACTAGTCTATAAAATACCTAGTTTGTACACCTCAAAACATTTCATACTACTTTCATAGTACCTCTCAAAAAGAGGTAATAAAAATGAAGACTGCTCTGAAAGCAAAAAGTTGGCGTGTGTGTGTGACAAATTTCTTCCTAAGAAATCATTCATGAAGACAAATGGTTTTCCATCTGGTATTTTGTTTCTTCAGAATTCATAAACTTGCAATGTCCTTTCTAAAGCAAAACCAGACCTTTTCTTGCCTACATTAGGTTAATGGGTTTATAAGACAAACCATCATCTCTTGCCTCAACACTGTACTTTTAGGATTTAGCCTTGAAAAAAAAAAAAAAATGCAGTGGCAACTAATGGATTCCAGAATCAAGCAATTATTTCCATCAACTAATTCATGCAAAAAATACACAAACTAATAAGCACAGTCTTTGCTACTTTAAATTACTTTCAAGGACAGATCACTGCAACGTTAAAAGCTACCCTACTGACCATGGTCTCAGAAGTGATGGAAAATAGCCTAGAATCATGATATCAACACAGCTACAGTTAAATATATCTAGATACATTATGAAGTAACACTTATTGAATTGTACTTAAAAATTACTGGTTATCTGAACTACATTGTACTGTCATGAATTTGTCAGATCTCGTTTCCACTGATATTGTATAGACTCACTTTAGAATAGAATAAATCTTGTGGTTAAAAATTAATGAGAACAAAGTAAATGACATCTTGTTATCTGTTGTCCTTCTGTTATGTTGAAGCATCTTGTTATTTGAAAACATCCCAGAATCTGTTAACCCTCAGTCAGGCTGAGACTTGAGATAACTTGAGTCAACGGTCTGTTATGGCTTGTTAACTGAGACATCCTGTTATCTTCCGACCCTCAGTTAAACCGAAAGTCAACTCAGCATTTTTACAGCTTGGAAAACAACTGATTAAGCAAAAGGTGAGAAGCGCATCACAAGGAAGACCTACGGCCTTCCTCCCAAAGACCACTGCTCACATCCCAAAGACCCTGGCCCACAATTCTTGGAAGGCTTTGCGCAAGTGCAAGGACTGATAAGCTAATTAGCATACGAAGCGTGGATAGGCGGGGTTAGGTAATGAATATGCATAGGCACTAATAGAATATTCATTGTTTCGCTGTATAAATATGAGATAGTTTGTCACTTCAAACATGCACGATAGGTGGAAAGATCCCCCGTGCATCCAGCGCTGCAATAAAGAATATACCACTTAGGGAAATTTCGGCTTTGATCTTTAAATCACCACTGAGGCAAATTCTTTTTCTGTGTTGCCCAAGGAAATACTAGAGACAGGAGGTACTTCAGCAAATAGCAGTTACAAAATACTCTAACTTGAGTTGTACCATAAGTAACCTTTTATTAGGTATTATAAGATAGTCCCTTGAATGTAATTGAAGTAAATGAAACTTCTTCAGACAAACAGGTTTGTTTACGTAAAACAGGACAGAGCCTCAAGTTTGGTGAGACAGCTTGGCTGAAGACAGATTTTTCACATAAAGAAATTCAACCAGAACCAGGCTCTACTGATATAAAACCTGCACCTGGGCCAGGGCAATTACAAGCACAAATACATGCTGGGCAGAGAATGGATTGAAAGTAGTCCTGAAGAAAAAAAAAAAACTGGGGGTATTGGTGGTTGCAGGCTCATGTTGAGCTTCTCATCATGCGCTTGCAGCCCAGAAAGCCAATTGTAACTTGGGCTACATCAAAAGAAGGGTAGCCAGCAGGTCTAGGGAGTTGATTCTCCCTCTCTACTCTGCTCTCGTAAGACCCCACCCTGTGTACTATGTTCAGCTCTGGGGCCCCCAGCACAAGAAGGACACGGAAGTATTAGAATGAGTTCAGAGGAGGGCCACAAGGACAATCAGGGGGCTGGAGAGAACTGGGGTTGTTCAGCCTGGAGAAGAGAAGGCTCCAGAGAAACCTTAGAGCAGCCTCCCAGTACCTAAAGGAGGGCCTATAGGAAAGCTGGGGAAGGACTGGACTCTGTCAGTTAGTGGAGTGAAAGGCCAAGGAGTAATGGTTTTAAAGTAAAAGAGGATAGATTTAGATTAGATATAAGGATGAAATTCTTTACTCAGAGTGGTGAGACACTGGAACAGGCTGCCCAGAGAAGTTGTGATGCCTGATCCCTGGAAGCATTCACAGCTAGGTTGGATGAGGCTTTGAGCAACCTGGTCTAGTGGGAGGTGTCCCTGCCCATGACAAGGGGGTTGGAATTAGATGATCTTTAAGGTCCCTTCTGACCCAAGCCATTCTTTCTAAGACTCTATAAACCAGCACTCCTCTCTCCCCTCTTATGGAGGATCTATCTCATCTGTGAGGCTAGCATGCTTCTACCATACAAGTTGTCCAAGTTGAATGTTCCCTTTAGTCTTTTCCACTCTAATTCTTTCTCCCTCACACCTCAGCATCAAACTTTAAGTAATTGATGCAAGTATGTAGATCAGGCTTTGACAAATACACACATGCTTATTCTTTCTAAAGAACTGTTTCACATGTACATGATAAAGATCTACCTGAAGTGAAAAAGATAATGTCATCTACACTTCAAAAATGTTTATGGTAAATTTAACATGGTAAAGGGTTATGGCACCAACAGAGGTGTTTAAATCAGCCTTCAGGTTGCTGTTGAGAAAGTGAGAAAAATAGATCCTGAACTGCTAAATAAACATTCTTTCTAGTCATTTATAGTTGACTAAAGAAGTCTTCCCCAAAATAGATTTTAAATATTAATTGTGTGTATGTTCAGATGAAGCCAGTAAAGTTCACCCTCCAAAATAAAACAGGAGATTAACAAAAGAATAACTGTAGGGTATCCCTGCAGTTCAGTTGGATATACTTCAGATGTGACTGATGTGCAATGCTTCCCAACGTTGCCACATCCAACTATCTCAAGTGAACTGTGAAATGTTAAATCATGTGGAGGTGAAGCATCTAACAAGGAAAAGAACAGTGAATAGGAAACAATTCAGCAACAGGGAACTGAATTGAGGAGCTCAATCAAGACTGAAATTGAGTGTCAGCAAATACAGAAAACAGAATTGTAAGATGTAGATTAACAGACAACACTATCAGCAATAGGTGGTGGGAAGCAAAACAGGTCAAAAACATAAATTGCAAAAATAAAAGAAGAAGTTGATAAAACAGAAGATTTAAAGACTGATATTTAGTTTAACTCCTTCTCTAGAAACAAAATGAACAAGATATTTAAAGGATATTATCTTCCACCACTGTCTGAATACAAAAAGTCCCTTTCAAAATCTAGCATTTTGTCTTCCACTTTCACAGACTTGTATCTGTTTAAAAAAAAAATCTAGAAGACTTTTTTTCTTTAATACAATATTACTTTATAGTTATGTCAAAATTTCAGTCTTAGTTGAGAAAAGGTTTAATTCAAGAAGACCAATAATGGGATAAAAATACCCGTTTTGTGCCAGTTTGTAAGAGGCAACTAATAAAATGGAATTGAACGTTAGAGAGATAAACTACAGCAAATCCAAGGAAAGCAATTATACAGGAAACACCCATGGGATTTATGTTAAGAATCAATGAAAAAACACTGGCTAAGGGTCTGTGAAGGATTAGATACCCACACAGTACTAATGTTTTTCTTTTTCTAAGTTAATTTACAAATAGGTTAAAAGCCACAACAGCTCTGTTACTATGTAGAAAAGCAATGACACCTTCATTAGTTAACAGAAAGACACAATAATAGGTACATTTGTTGTAAGAAGGGATTGTCTTCCTAAAACAACATAAGCTAGGGTTAATCAACTATAAGACTGTTTAAGAACATCTACTGAGAGAATACAACCTGATACAGGAACTAAATGACAACAAGAAACCATGCATACCAACTAGCAAGTTTGAACCACCTTAATTAAGAAAACATATGCACATAGATTGTTATTATTCCTATAGAGCTTTTCATTAAAGCCTTCTTTTGCTCTTCAGGAACAAATGTTTCTAAGAAAATAAGACAAAGACACAGCATTGGGTGCTCTAAATACACGTAATTCTTCTGATTTTACTGAAAACTTAGTGGTTTCTATACTATCAGATTAAATTCTACAAGTAGTATGAACTAGAGAATTCAAGAAGGTTTGAATCAGTTCATGAAAGATAACGCAGTCAAGTATTCCGTTTAGAACAAGTATGTTTATAAATAATGTGAAAATATCAATGAGAACAGAAAGTTGGGAACTCAGAAGCACAATTAGAGTTAAATTCTAAAGCTTGCAACCCAACAGATTGGTTTACAGAAATGACAGCTAATTACAGTGAAGAATTTCATATAGCACCCATTAGCCTCTCAACCTCCACTATTAACCACTAATCACACCTTCAAGCCAATTTTAAATGATCTCTAATCCCTCTGCTGTGTTACCGACTGGCCTTCTCTATCAATACACAAAATATTCTGGAACATTACAAGCACCACAGCATCTCAGATCACAACTTCCAATAAAACAGATAAATTCCCTTCATAATAAACAACCACAGAACAATGCGCATCATTTTTGGAAAAAATGGAAATGATACTTATTCCCATATTATAAAATGGGTGAGAAGAAAGGTGGAGGACATGAAAGAATTCGAGCTGACTGTCTTCCGCCCCCCCCCCCAATAGCAGAGCCCAAAGGAACAACCCCTGCACGGATGCTGCAAGGAAAGAGAAGATAAAGGTTAGAGTAAAAGGAAAGAAGAAGAACAGGAGAAAAAGACAGACTGTTATGCAAATGCGTGCATAACAGTTACATTCACCTGAACTGCGGAATGTTGTTCTTGCTGGTAGCGGCTGTTCTTGTAGGTGACGATTAGGAAGGAAATGGAAAAGAGCAGCTGTTGTTGATGAGTACGAGTCACCAAGGCTACAGTGACTATGGCGCTTGATTCACAAGGCAACAGTTGCTATAACTCACAAAAGAGAGAGAGAGCAAGCGAGAGAGGAGGAAGCAGTAACCCAACCTAAGCTACCCGGAAGAGGCAGAGCCTTTCTTATGACGGACAGCTTCTAGGACCGGAGGGGAGGTGGTGCGGTTCCCTTAACGGGGAAGGAAAATAAGGTTGGCAGGGACGTACTAATTCCTCCGCCTCCCTAAAGGCATAAGATGGCACTTTCTATTCCCAACAAATGAAATAGCAGTACTATGACAATGGACAATCCCTGGATATAAGTCACACTACATTGGAGAGGCTAGGGAAGGAAGATGATGGCTGGTGGCAGTGGCTGATTGTTCAAAAGGATAGCAACCGCCAAGCTGAAACCCGAGTGGGAGGGAGGAGAGAAAGGGGGTGTGGTCATATCTATATATCTGTCTCCCGAGTGGATCACTCTTACTGACATCCTGACGTCACATCCGATTAGCAACCAAGAGAAAGTTTTTTTGTTTGTTTGTGTTTTTGTTTGCTTGTTTGTTTTTGTGCAGGGATCTCTGTTCAGGGGATTACTTTGCTTTTCCACCATTCTTGTTTCCTGCCACTCAGAAGCAATTGCAGAGTAAGCAGGAACTTGTTTTGTGCTCACTGTTTGTCACCTTTCTACTAATTTTTCCATCGGAAAATGGCAGGGAAGAGCTGCTGATAGATGGGGTATTTGTGGCCAGCAGGGAGGTGATTCTCCCCCTTCTCCCCCTCTATTCTACCCTTGTGAGGCCCCACCTAGAGTACTGCATCTAGGTCTAAGGCCCCCAGCACAAGAAGGAACTGAACCTGTTAGAGCAGGTCCAGAGGAGGGCCACAAAGATGATCCGAGGGCTGGAACACCTCTCCTGTGAAGATGGGCTAAGAGATCTGGGCATGTTCAGCCTGGAGAAGAGAAGGCTCCAGAGTCACCTCATTATGGCCTTTCAGTACTTAAAGGGGGCTTTTAAAAAAGATGGAGTGTAACTCTTTGCTCAGTCGGATAACGATAGGACAAGGGGGAATGGTTTTAAACTAAAAGAGGTGGCATTTAGATGAAAGGTTAGGAGGAAAGGGGAGACCTTGTAGTGACTTTCCAGTACCTAAAGGGGGCCTACAGGAAAGCTGGGGAGGGACGCTTTGTCAGGAAGTGGAGTGATAGGACAAGGGGGAATGGCTCTGAATTAAAAGGGGTAGATTTAGATTAGACATTAGGAAGAAGTTCTTTACTCTAAGGGTGGTGAGGCACTGGAATGGGTTGCCCAGAAATGTAGTGATGCCCCATCCCTGGAAGTGCTTAAGGTCAGGCTGGACAGGGCTTTGAGCAACCCAGTCTAGTGGGAGGTGTCCCTGCCAACGGTAAGAGGGTTGGAATTAGATGATCTTTAAGGTCCTTTCCAACCCAAACCATTCTATGATTCTATAAAAACATTTTGATAGGACAGAAAAGGAAGGGAAAATAATAAACGAATATACAAAAGAAGTAAGGCACAACACAGTTGCTCACCACGCACTGACCGATGCCTACCCAGACCCTGAGCGTCTTCTGCTCCCCCCAGCCAACTCCACACATATTAATTTTTCAGCTTGACATCATATGGTATAGAATATCCCTTTGGTCCATTTGGGTCAGCTGTCCTGGTTGTGTCCCCTCCCAGCTTCTTGTGCACCCCCAGCCTCCTTGCTGGCAGGGCAGCACAAGAAGCAGAAAAGTCCTTACCTCTGTGTAAGTACTGCTCTGCAACAACTAAAACATTGGTCTGTGTGTGTAGGAATGGATTAAAAGTGGAAAATTGGTGAGGACAATAGGTTGAGAAGGGAAGATTGGTGAGCATGATTATAAATACACTCAAGTGACATTGCAGCTGGGATGGACTAAAGTCTGGAGAGTAGTAATGCAGGAAAACATACATGTATATCTATTGCTTTTTATGCTCTGTGTGTTTGACAAGTGGAACATCTTTATCAGACATACTTGAGCTCCCTGCCTTGGTATGAAGAAGATCAAAGCACAGTGAAGATCAAAGCATGGTGGTAAACTACACCTGTGTGAACCCTTGATAAACAGGTGTAAACAACAGGTCAGCAATCCTCTAGCATGGACCGAGTTCAGCAGTGTCTGTGTCCCCATTTGTGTGCCTCTGCCTGAGTGTTGCTTGCTTCAGGGATCCCCTATTGGCAAGGCAATGAAAATAAATGTACCTTGTGTTTCAGCCATGGGTCTGTGGTTGTTCCTGCTGCCTGCGCTGACTCGCACATTTGGCATAGTCAGCAGGATCCAGGAACAGTTATGCCATGGCTAGCAAAAAAGTCGGAGGCTGGGGAGGCTGTGATGGCGACTCCCCACATTCTGGGATGGCCCAGTACTGAGTGCTGAACCCCTGTGTCTGCTTTCCTAGCTATGATGGCTCCTCTGGAAGCATAGCCTGAGCTAGTTGACAGGGCAGTGGTTACCCCCTAGACAACTGAGATGGCTATGTGAGGATTGCCATGGAAAGTGGCATCAGAGTCTTCTTGCAAGCTGGCAGCGAGATTGGAATGGCTATTAGCTACTGGGTTTAGAGCTCTTGACTGTGAATTTGTAACATTATGTAGTAAAGCGAGAGAGTTGGAAGAGGAGGTCAGGACTTTACAAGATGCAAAGGTGATTGTGCAAGAAGTAAGTACTGCTCAAGCAGAGCTGTGCTATGAGCAGCAGTGCACTGTAGAACAGCTGGTGGTGCATATTGCTAATGAACAAAGGCGCAGATATGGGAAAAGTGGGGGTTCGCCTTCCCAAGTTCATACTCTTACTATTTAACCTTCATGGGATCCCAGGAAATGGGATGGAAATATCTGGAGTGAGTCTTCAGACTCTGAGATTGAATTTGAGCTAGACTTAGAAGGTAGGGAGGTGGTAGGAGCACAACCCCTCATACAAATGAAGGGGCAGCAGGAGCTGGCAGATGAAGGGGTATAGATCACACACGCTTATACCCCAAAAGAGTTAAGGGAATTTTTAGAAGTGTGTCAGCAAAGCAGTGGGGAAGGTGTACTGGCATGGGTTTTGTGAGCTTGGGATAGTGGTGATGCATCTATCCATTTATTAATGGATGAAAAAGATTTATTAAGCCCTATAGCTGGTGATGATCAGATACAAAGAGGTTATGCTCAATTACAAAATACCAGAGATCCCGATGGGCAGGTTATTATTGAACGTAAACTATATCAGTGGTTGTGTGCAGCAATTTTAATAGCATATGCAGATCCTGTCAAATTAGCATCATCCCTCAGAAATTGATATACAATGGAAGAACTTATTAATTTAGTGCAGCAGATGGGGATGGCTCATGCGTTAAATTACAGAATCCAATCCAGATAGGGTAGCAGTAACAAGAAGTATCAAAATGCAGCTTTTGAGAGGGATGCCTGCTTCACTGAAACCTTTGATTATACCAACAGTCTTGAGTGCTACTGGTAATGTAGGCACCCTAGCAAATATCTAGAGGGAAATTTGGGATCTAACTTCAGGAGGATCTGTGCAGGTAGTAAATAAAGGAAAGCCAGCAAAACCAAAAGGAGTTGCATCATGGGTAACAAGGAAACAGATGTGGAATGATCTTGTGCAAGCTGGTATCCCACAATCAGAAATAGATGGGATCACAACATGTTTCACCAATAGCAAAAGTTAGCACCCATGTGGAGGAAAAAAAAAATTCCCCCTCCACCCTGCCTGCCACCTCAAGGCAAGGCCCTACCTGGCTGTTGTGATCTCAGGTGAGACTGTGTGACATGTGATTGAGACATACTTTTGTACGAAGCGAGTGTGGATCTGCGGTTCCATAGCTACGTGAGGGGTGTGGCCAGAGACAGACGAAGCATGAGATAAGAGAGAGAAAGGAAGAGTCTCGGGAAATTTGGTGTACGGTACCCCTTGCACGGGGAAGTGCTTGGCAGTACACCAGGGAATCTGGTAAACTCATAGGTGTGCGGTACCCCTTGCATGGTAAAGTGCTTGGCAGTACACCCTTATTTTCCAGAATTGGAACGTTAGTGTGTGGTATCCTGTAGGAGGGAAAATTCTGTAGCAGCACACTGACAAGGGCTAGGAAAAATGGGAAAATGTGGGTTCCAGGGAAAAGAGAGATATCCCTGGGGGAGTGCCTACTGACAGTTCTTCCTGAAGAATGATAAAAAATTGGAAAAATAAAATTAGAGATTATAAAAGAAAAAAAAAAAAAAAAAGGTTTGTCCTGGTTTCAGTTAGAACAGAGTTAATTTTCTTCCTAGTAGCTAGTGGAATGCTGTGTTTTGGCTTAGGATGAGAAGAGTGCTGATAACACCCCGATGTTTTAATTGTTGCAGAGCAGTGCTTATACTAAGCCAAGGACATCTCAGCTTCTTGCTCTGTCCTGCCAATGGGCAGGCTGGGGGTGCAGTAAGAGCTGGGAGGGGACAGACCCAGGACAGGTGACCCAAACTAGCCAAAGGGTTATTCCATACCATCTGACGTCATGCTAAACAATATATAGGGGTGGCTAACCGGGGGAGGGGGCCGGACTGCTCGGGGTTAGGCTGGACATTGGTCAGCAGGTGGTGAGCAATTGCATTGTGCATCACTTGTTTGTACATATTATTAGTAGTAGTACTATTATCATCATTGTATTATTATTATTATTATTATTATTATTATTATTATTATTATTATTATTATTTTCCTGTCTTATTAAACTGTCTTTATCTCAACTCACGGGCTTCACTTTCCATTTCTCTCCCCCGTCCCAGAGAGGGAGGGGGGAGGGTGAGCGAACGGCTGCGTGGTGTTTAACTGCCGGCCGGGTTAAACCACGACAGTCTTTTTGGCGCCCAACGTGGGGCCCGAAAGGTTGAGATAACGGCAGATCTGACCAGAGTGTGTTAAACTAAAATTGGTGTAAGGATTAGACCTGCTTAATAGTCACTTGTCATAATGCTGATTGCTTTAATCTCAACTCTGCTGCACCTGTTTTCCAAACTGAGTATTATAGCACGTTATTTTCCGTATGTGCTCTCTGTCATGTTGTTTATCCTCTCCGGGCCCTGGTTTCAGACCATTATGGTACTGTGTGTTGTATCAGTGGCTTATGAGATGATGAAATATCTGGTCATGACTCTAACTTGGTATTTGTACTCAGTAACATCGTCGACTCTATACTTTGGAAACTGTATTTTGGAAACTATTAGTAATTATATCTGTTGCCTTTTTTCATTAGGGAGTCAATCTGTGGAGGGGAAAGGGGAAGATATTTTTTCTTACTTGATCACTCTCCCTTTCTCCTTCACCACCCTCTTATCCTCCGAGCTTGTTACAATAGCTCTCCAAGATATTGAATATCCTTG